CAGGGTTATGGGGCCTCCTCCCTTCTCTCTGCAGTGGGGCAGCCCTAATCCCTGCCTTTCTGCTGCTGTCAGCCCTCAAAGACACCCCCAGCCCATGCAATGGCAATGGCCTACTGCAGCGCTGGCACCCCACATCCCTGCCCAAGAGGGTCTGATGGCGCCCTAGCCCTGAGGTACCCACCTCAGCTGGGGGACGGCCTTCCCCTGTGTCATCTGCCAGGTCGATGCCGCAGGTCTCTGGTAGCAGGATGCAGAGCAGCCCCCCCACCACAGGGGTGCTCCCGAAGATGGCCATGGGGATGGCCCGGTGGTACTGCTCCAAGAGGAGGATCAGCGGGGCGATGATCCCTGCCACCCGCCCCACCATCGAGCACAGCCCCACACCGGTCTGCCTGGGGGAGCGAGGGGTGGTGGGAGGCATGGGCAGGGCTTGGCCCCTGCCCCTGTGCCACCATGGCACCAAAAGCGGCCATGGGGACAACTGGGCTCTTGCCCCACCACTGCCACCAGCCACGGTGGAGGGAAGCCCCAGTGCATGGGGAGACCTCACCTGATGACTGTGGGGAAGAGCTCTGCAGAGTAGACATAGGAGGTGGAGAAGGAGGCCGAGGCAGTGAACTTGCCAATGGTGGCCAGGACGGTGGTCACCATGGGCTGGTCTGAGGGGAGAAGGAGGGACCACTGGTGTGGGAGGGCCCAGCACTGCTTGGGGAAGGAGGCCAGGGATGCACAGTGACAACTGTGTCGTCTGCTGGGAGCCATCACCACTGAACCTGGACTGAGGAGCAGCTCTGGCCTGGGGCCCACCTTCAGGGGACTTTGCATCCACCATTTCACCTCCCTATGTACCAATTTTCCCAGAGGACAACTCTGCCAATAGGTGGCCTACCAGGCTTGGCTCTACCCTTTCCTATTGTGCTCAGCAGGCAAAGGTTTGTGGACCAGAATGGGCCTTTGGGAGATGACAATGTCCCCTGTGGCCATGGCACCAGGGCCAGCTCAAGTCCTGAGAGATGTGTGCTGGCCTGGTTGGGAGGACAGGACCTGCACCACCTCCCCTACCCCAGATGTGGTCCTCTCAGGATGGGAAAGAGGTTTTTTACCTTCAGGGATGCCGGTGATGATCAGACACACCAGACCGCTCAGCAACAGGAGAACAGCCTGCGATTTCTTCCTCCCAAACCACTGCAGCAGGAAGATACAACCAACGCGGGCTGGGATTTCCACTGCTCCGAATGCAAGCTGTGTCAGGTAGATGTCCAGACCAAAATTTGTCACGTTCAGACTCAGCCCGTAGTAGACAAGATTGTTCACAAACCTGAAAGTCAGGCAGAGCGGCACTGAACATATCTATTGACCATGAAAAAATACAATATTGATCTATGATGACAACAACTTGACCAAGCCACAGCATTTCCAAGGGAACATAGAAACAGACCAATAGCACTGGATTGCCAAAGCTGGGATGACTCTAACCTTTCCCACAAACTGCACAGCATCTTGAGTAGTCAGAAAGAGCAATTCCCATCAATAACACTCAAAACCCCCAAGGTGAATTTACAGTTATGACGAACCTTCAATCCCTTCTTTTCTTCACCTAGGGGTTTGTAAAGAGGAGATCAGGGGATGTCTTA